GAGACAAGAGATTTAGAAGTATTGCCAATTATTGATTTTAAAGTACGTAATTTTGATAAACAAGGAACATGTTCATTAAGTGTAAATGTTGGTGCTGTATGCTATCGTACATAGTAACAAAGTGAAATTTCCGGGAAAAAAAATAATAAACTATATATTTAATTGAATAAATTCAAATGTTCAATATTGAATGAACTATTATTCCTTATTGTTTTGATTTTGTCTGTATGAATAATCTTTCAATTTTAAATTAATTTAATAAAATGTAAGCTGTTTTTGTAATGCGCGCCACAACTGATACAAATATAAAATGTTCAATTAAAACAAAAAGAAAATTTGAAAATTCAACCAGTTAGGCATTTTTATATCATTACACATGAGTATCGTTTGAAACAATATCATCATAGATGTTTGTCCATTGTGAACAAAATAATAAAAAAATTAAGAAAAGTGCATTTTTTAATGGTTGTTGGGAGTTTTCAATGTTGAGTAACATCAGTGGGGACAATCGAAACTTATTTAAATAAGAAATTGAAGAATCTCTTAGTAAAATCTGTGAACTATACAGTAAATATGAATTTACAAATCCCCCATCAATTTTTTTTTCAGACTTGAGTGTTTGTTTTTTATTTCCACACTAATCATTTTATGTTCTTGTTCTATTCTCTTCGATCTTCTTAGCCCTGTGTCGTCAGATATTTCACTTTCGATTGATGATACATACTACTTAAAACTGTCAAAATCAGTAGCACAAACCATAGTTATGGTAACATAAGAAAGATTGATTCAGTGAAGAATTCTATTTTCGGCGAATTCATTTTCAAACCTGTATAATCGTACAAATGTACTTTTCAAAATGATAGTAATCGCAATAACAGTGATAGTAAAATCTTGGTAAACATGGTGACAGTGATGTAGAATACACAAAGGTATTATAACGTCCTTTTTAAGGGAAACTATTAATTGTTTTGCAGAGATGGATAGTGGCTAGCAGTGGAATCCACGACGCGCGTTTCGTTCTATCCGGGACTCGTCAGCTGGATGTACCTGCATCTCAGAGTTGATGTTCACTCTGGGACTCGAACCCAGTACCCTCGCTTCAAACATCCATCTCTGCTTACCATGCTTGTGAATTAAGGCTATATTGAGGCAATACGCACAGTATGCACATATGCCAATTAGAGACTGACCAGTTGCAGTCCTAACAAATCGATGGGAAGATTCAAACAAACAATACTGAATGAATTTAATAATTGTTTTGTTGTTGAAAGCTTGAACATTGATTGTAAAGATAGGTGCTAGTAGTAGCGTAACTATAACGAGATCTTTGTGGTTTGTCCCAGAAGTGGCATTAGTATTTGAGAACGTTGACTACAGGTTTTAATTGTTTAAAGTAGCTGGGAGCTTTTTGACTAATGTAAATGAAATAACCTACGAACTTACCTTAAAATTTTCTTGAACTAAATCAATTTTTACATAGACCTTGAAATTTTGTCCTATTTTTAAAAAAGGATACAAGGTTATTCTAAATTATGAAATATTGAGAAATGTCAGCCAATAGGAGTGGGATCTATGCGTCCTAGAGAGAGCTGTGACTAATCACTGTAACACTTTAATGAGCATAATGCACCTATGTGGTTGAAGATCGAGTACAAGAATTAAGGGAATGCTTGATTTCCTAAAAAATTGAAACTGTAATTCAACAGCTTTATGCGGGATATTAACAGCTACGACCGTTAAAAATGTGGTTAAATACAGACAGACAGCAAACTAAGCGTGAAAGCAATGAATCAGGCGATAACATTGGTTAGAATGATGAATACGGGTTGTAAAGAAGTCACCGAATTCGCCCTTGCTCTTTCCAAATAATATCATCGATAAAACTAAGAAAACTAGATAACTTAATGCCTTCGAAACACATTTGTATCAAGATCCATTGTGTCATGTGTGAACTGAGCGAAATTACGTGGCGAGCAATCAATCAGAATTCCAATCCTAATTCTGTCGATTTCAGGTCTATTATTTACTCTATATCTTAGTCTCTGACTTGGTCAACCATAAGCATAGTCATCAACTTTGAGTCAACAGCTTAGTCCCTATCCGTTTATTGTTCATAAGCTTCTCTCTATGCCCTACCATTGAATGCAATAGTTAGCAGCCAACATCTACTATCCTTACATTTTAACCAGATATGGTTTTCATATAGACATACCGGACTTCACCACACCATGAAATGAAAAATAACAGTTACATATAAGCAAGATAAGTATCTGTGAATCAAAGATGATGTAGATAGACGGGAAACACACTGAGAATAAGTCTCGCAGAAGTTTCTTATAGTTTAACTAAACACTTATAATAAACGGAATACTCAGACAAAGTAATCTGTTTATTTAATAGTTATACAATAAGTATATAGATAATAATAATTCATAAATTAGTTCTGGAGGTTACTATTCCTTTCATTTTCGTTCTGATACATCAATGACAAAAGAGGCATATTAATCTCTATTGAATATATTACCAATTTCTAAACATCAAGATTAGAGGTCAAACCAAACATACATAGTACTTTTATTAGATATTGAGTTCGGTCAACTAATGAAAATATTGATTTTATTCCACTGTACAACAGTAATCATCATCAATAAAGAGGTCATTTTATACAGAAAAGAAAAACCTATCTACATGAATTTGGCCTATATTACTATCATACATTTATAGGTACTAAACGGATCTTAATATTCATATCTTTGATAAAATTAATGGTTTAACATAAGGATTTAACTATCGTAACATTAATCCTGCTTATCTGTTCTTGGTATACCATTACGCATTGTTTGTTGAAGGTAAGTTTATAACTGTGGGTACTATCTTTTGAGAATAATTTCTAGCTATCAATCTTCGTTTTCCTCTCTCGAGTTGTCTTACCCGCCATCTCCAATGCCTACCACTTTCGCTTCGCTCTCTTTTTTTCGCTTCATCCCTCTGATTTCCTGTCCAGAGCAATGAGTGTAGAAAATATATGTATTCAAAATCCACTCTCGTATTTGACTTATTTAATTCGTTATTCATCAACGCGGATTAAGTCATGTACGAGGATAGACAGGATGTATATTTTTACAACCAACCATTCATATGATCTAAATGGAGTCAGATCAATGACCCCTCACCATTACTGTGTGACCAAGTTCAATCTTATTAATATTTAGACATGATGTTTGTTTATGCTTAGATTCGTTTCTTCGTTGCCTAGGATTTTACACAAAATATCATGAGTGTAAAAAAGTAATGAGTTGAATTTTTTTCATCAATGAATCACTTGATTGATTGTTTTATGCTTAAATTAATGTTTTAACATTTCTGCTTATTAAGTCACTTTTCCGCCAGTAATCTCATATTCTTATTTGTGTATAATGTACTTTTTAAATTGTTTATCCTTGACGATTTCCCTACTTATAATAGTAATATATTGTTTTCTGATTCACAGTAAATGATATGATTCTAGTCTTATACATTTATTTGAAGTTATTGAACTTAACCTTCTTTCTATCTTCGATATTCGTCAATCCGTTATTGTTACTCTTCTATTATTTCTTTAGAATTATTAACTAGGCATTATTTCAACATTCAGTTATTCTGTTCTTCATATACACAAGATGAGAAAATCATCTGTCTTTTATAGGATATCTTGATAACTTTTTCCATTAATCGTCAAATCATTGAACAGTATCTTTTTCTATATTTGATATTCATAAACAATTTATGAGTTTTATATAGTTGGGATCATGAGTCAATTGAAGCTAGACTAGCTTCAAGAGGTATTTCCTGGAGTTCTAGTGAGAAACAGTAACCAGTGGAGTTCAACCAGGTCTGTTGGAGATATCAACTCACTGAAGACATTGGTAAATGGCTACTCAACTTCGTGGATTAGTTGAAGTTAGACAATAACACCGTTGGATGCCGAGTCTGTGATCTAGAGGTTAAGTGCTCGCGCGCGACACTGGTTCCTGGGTTCGGACCTCACGAGGCGAGATCGTGGATGCGCACTTCTGAGGAGTCCCACAATGGAACAAAACGGCCGTCCAGTACTTCCAGGTTTTCCACGGTGGTCTAGCTTCTATTGACTCATGATCCCAACTATATAAAATTACTAAAATCTCCACAAAATTCCCTTCTGATGATTTATGAATAGTTTCTTAATATTTCTCAAGTTGACAATTATCCTCCATTTCTAATTTATCTTCACTTCGATCTGCTAACTAATTTTTCTTTGATTCTTGAGAGTATTCTCAATTATCTATCATGCAATCAACTACAATTCCATTCGACTATAGATTTATGTATCCTAATAAACTGTAAATATGATTGTACAGCTTAACCAAATGATCTCATATAAAAATAATTTTTGCTGAGTTACATTTACTTCTTATCCAATTTCAGAAGAGTTAAATTGTGGCATGCGCTAATGATATCGATAGATATAAGTAGTATGTATCAACAATAGAAAGCGAAATGCCTTGAGAGTGAAGGTTGGAAAGGTCGAAAAAACAAAACGAGGAAAAAGAACGATTGTTGTGGAACCTAAATATCAATGAAGTATAAGACGATTGACCGATATTTTCAAACGTTCAAATTATTATTAGCAAAAAACAGACATTAGATTGAAACATCATGCTTATCATATCTAAAATCATTTGAGTCTCATCGTGATCATGATAATTGTAGTTATTTTTCTGCTACTGATAATAATTAAGTAGTATGAACTTTCAAGTCGACATAGTGATTCTACATCTCACCACATGGTTTGATATCAGTGTTTTTATATGGAACATTTTTATGATAAATAATCTTAACAACAGTTGTAAACGTGGGAGTAATTCTTCACCTTTATGTGCTCAATAACTTTCCATCTGCCTATTTTTGTCCTATTATTTCTGTAATTCATGACTTGATTGCTTTCTTTTCTACTTTATTTATTGCTCACATCATAAATTTATAATAATAGATTTTATTAATATGTATACCGTGTTGTACAGGTACATAACGTGTGTATGTAAATAAGACATCAGAAGTACTTTTAAATTTCACGTAATCTTGGACGGTTTGATCATTTCTTCTTTTTGCCTTTACCACTTTTCTTTCCACTCTTCTTTCCACTTTTCTTTGTCCCACCTTTCTTTTCATTTACCTTAGCTTGTTTATCAATTTCTCTTTGTATTGCAAATTGGGGAATTAGAGGAACTGTACGTGTTTGTATTAAATGCTCAACTTTAGGTAGATCTCCGTTTGCAGCGTTCAATAAAACCTGTATAGAGTTATGTTAATAATAATGGTAGTAATAATAGTGGAAGATGAATAAAACACAACAAAGAATTTTTTTAATTGCTGAAAATAATACGAACAGTTTGATGATGATTTCATGTATATCATGTTTATAACTTAAAAAAGATATTTCCCACGATAGCCTTTGTATGAGAGATTGAAGTTCATGGGAATCTAAATCTATCCAAGAATAATAGTTTTTAAAAGAATCAGTTATCAGTTAATGAATACCTTGTTTTTAATACAACCGCGTAATACTGGTCGAGATAACAATTAGATGTTTAGTTGTTAAGTACTAAATCTACTGTCGGAGAGTTCCCAAATTCTCCTTTTATAACTAAGCGGGCCTAGAAATCGCTTGAAAACATTTTATTCAGTCGGGATTGAATAGAAGTTTCTTTGAAACATCTAGAAGAATGACGAACCACGGGTCAACTTCTTATTGCTAATATTAATTATGCATCTACAACTTTCTAAGTGATCAGGGTCGCGTTAAATAGCAAAAATAAGCACGAGTAAAGCTTTCTTTTTGCGTTTTACATCTTTTCTCTTGTGTTTAGGTTGTTATGTAGATTTAGATTTAGATCATTGGAAGCGGCCAGGAAATCGGATCGAGTTCTCACTAAACAGACTTATCATCTACTTATGCTCCTTTGAACGTTATTTAACTGGTATCATATACTGGAATGTTTTCCGGGGTCAAAAATCTTCAGTGTTAATTTTTCAACACTGCATATTTTTAGAAGGACTGTTTATTTTTGTTTGAATCTATTGAAAACTACTAATTTTGAATAATAGTTCAGTTGAAGCAGTTAACATTGCTTTTGTTATTCGCGTTATTGTTGTGTATAACAATGGAAGCTCTTAAAACGACAGATTTAGTATAAATCTATGTTCATCATTGAGTTAGTTGTACTCAATTCGTGATATTTATATTTGTCGATAAACCGATAAGCAGCATGTGAAATATTAGAGTATGGAAGCTATGCAGCAAAACAGTACATCGGAAAATTAATCCACGAAATACGAAGAGATCAGACCAAAACGTTTTATTTTACCTATCAACATTAGTAGACAACTGTAAAAATATGCACTTAATAATGTGTTAAATAACTCGAAGACTGATGAACAAATCAGGACTGATGAGATAGATCTTGGTCAGGAGTGTATCTGATTGAATTAAGATGATAGGTGACAGTAAGTTAAACGAAATAATAAGAGGTTAATCCTTAGATTATAAGTTATCTGACAAATGTTGGTGTTTCTTCTGATATCTAAGATTACAGAGTGTCGTTTAGGAGTGCTAAGGCTGTGTAATTAAAGGTCAAAGATAACGGTTAAATGATTTTTAATTGCTACTTGAGACGACAAGCTATCTAAATGATATCAGTTGTAGAAATCATAAGTAAGCAACAATTACGGTTTTTAATTCTCCATCATCTTTAAAAAAATTTACCATAATTATTTAAACTCATGTCATAGTTAGAAGTATGGTCGGGAAAAGGATAAGGACAAAATGTGAACTGATTTGCAGGCATCTCCTACAACAGATTGAAAAACCACCTTCTTGGCTAATGTGCTTAAAAAATGCTGTTCATAATAAATAAGTGATAAGTAAGGCTAAATAAACAAGTATTTTGTGAACGAATGCCACAAAAGAAGTTGTGCATCTCTAATCCTTGTTTTTGGCTGAGAAATTTTATTAAGTTCCAATCCAGGACATTTTCCAACCTAAAATATACTCCATTAGAAAAGACTGAGACATTAGGGAGTGGCGTCTGCGAACTGACCAAGTCACTATAGCAAACACGCTCAGTTATTGAAAATAGTCAGCATTAGCTGGAGTTGGCTCTATAGTCAAATCAATGAAAATGATCAGTGAAAATTTTTTAAGGTAATGAGCATAACATCTATTCTTTAGAATGACTTACTTTCCAAGTTTCGGAATTATAAGTTGCTAAGTCAATCGGTTTGACGCCACTAATACATTCATGATTAATATCTGCTCCGGACATGAGTAAAAATTTCACCACTCTTGTATGATTTCCTGTGAAGTAAATTTTATAGGATGTTGTATATCGAATACAGATGCTCTACCTTTAGCGGCCATATGTAATGGTGTAGTTCCATTTGAATCCCATATATTTACATTCGCTTTATTAGCAACAAGAAGTTTCACCGATTCATAGCTTCCGTCTGTTGTTAAATTTAGGATTTTTTTGAAGAGAAAAATAAATCAAGAATTATGAAATTTTAAACATGTTTACTTGTGGCTGCATAGTGTAATGCTGTTTTGCCAAAACCATCAATAAAGTTTATATCCACTCCATTTGCAATAGATCTGCTTACAGCTTTTATATCACCGTGACGTGCTGCTCTACATAAATTTAATTCATTTGGAAAACCCCATGGAATAAATGGATCAGATGATTTTTGTTCTGATACCGATTCAGCAGTTGCTGTCATTTTTTCATAGTTAAAACAAATACATAGATTGCACTATGTTATCTAGAAAACATAGAGAAATATTTCAGTCATCAGAATAGAATGATTATCATTACTATTATTATGAATAACCATATACTGATCAGGCAGTTTCTAAAGGCCCGATAAATAATCATAAAACAGTTTTGTTTTCAAAGTCTATAAACCAATAATACTTAGCAGAAATCAGTAAACTGTATTATCATGCTTACCTGGAAATTCGACCTTTTAAGTGATGGCTGAGTTGTTTGACCATCATTATGCTTCAATAAAACTCGTAGTACATTGATTTCAAGTGACTCACACAACAAAGTGACTTGGTGGTTAGTGTGTACTCTCAGCAGCCGATAGTAATCAGTTAATAAAAACCGATACGAAATCAATGATAAGAGATATCTTTGTAGAACTGTATATTATATTACTTAATTCATGTCCCTCAACAATATTCATATCTTTTGAAATTATGACTTGAAACAACCCCGATTTAGCTATAAGCGAAAAATGTGTTCCTATCTCAGGGTGTACTTTACGAAAAGCAAGATATCTCAATTTTTCGATACAATATTTCTCCTTTTCAGAAATTTCACTCTACGCTGCTTTAGAATTCATGGACTATCATTTAAACTTCAAATAACGATTTTGAGCTTGATAGTAAGTAAGTGATGAATACAAAGACAACAAAAAACATAAGACACGGAATATATTTGAACATAATGACATATTTTTCTTGTAGTTTCTAGAATTTCCTCAGTACTGGAAGTCAAATTTAACTTAACAAAACGTAATAAATTATTGTCTCCACATAAAAGTTCAATTACCAATTAGTCTAAAACTATCTAATGTAAAACAACTACTTAGGCATTACATAAACAGCAAGTTAGATTTGAAAAACTGAAGAACTAATCAGGAATAAAAAAGATTGATTAATAAAGTTCATATTGTGAGGAAATACAAGTATCTTTGATTCCAACAAAAATTTCAAGTTCAAGTTGAAGACATATTGTATTTTTTTAATGGGCGGACTGCTTTCAGCAGTCGTTTGGTCTGATTATGTGGAATTTGGACACTATAAACAAAATTAGGTAAATCTATCTAATACATAAACGTATACAAAGGTCAATAAATAGATAATGTGATCAACTATATCAGTGCATGGAACACACGTAAGATTATAAAAAATATAGTGAATCAGTTGTGCGTTATTTGGTTATTATAAAGTCGGGTTAAATAAATTATTAACTGTCTTTTAAGTTAAACAGTAGTTTAATGCATGATCTGTAAAAATGAACCTAGAAATACTTTGCAAAAATATCATGGCATATTGACTGAAGCATTCTTTAGGAATTTTTGATTTGTAATATTCATTACAGTTACGAGATCTACAAACGATAACTAGAGTTATCGAAAGATTAAAGCGAATGTAAGTTCGAGTCGTGAGCAAATGCACACGAAGCGATGCATATTTTGCTTGAAATGTTTTTCAAAGGCGGTATAAAGAGACTGAGCGCACCAAGGTGTTTAAAAATTTGGAATAAAGAATTCTTTTTGCATTGATGACAATTGTTACCACCGTTGGCACCATAAATGGAAAGACTGACAAACAGCTGTTGAACTACATTGAATACAGCGATACTCATACGCAATAGCAACAAAAAATAACGTAAGACTAAAGTACACAACTAAATTAGCCTAGATTTTCTTTTAAATCTTTTGTGCAACGGATTAGAAGGACAGTGGACTGAGGATATTCTGCAGCCAAACAAACTGTTCGGCGTTATAATGAGCAACTGCCATTCGTTAGTTGATTGCACAACGATAATCCTGTGGGTAATAACGAAACGCCAGTTAGTTATGATGTAAAGAATCAGTATACAACTTGAGGAGATACTAAATTTACATCATTTAAGCCAGAAAACTTAGTACTTATCAAAAGTGATCCCGAACTGATTATATAGAAAGGCGAAAGCAGTGAAATTAAATCCCGTCCTTAGATTAGTGCCGTAAGTCTTTCTATAGAATTATTCCCCTAGGATGATACAATTGTATTTCTGTGCTCAGTAGTTAGTCATAGGGATATGTTATTGGCCATTAGTGACTTATCATTTAATTATTCAGCTGTCAACATAGTTAGCCATGAAGTCATAGCGTGCCCCTAATATATACGTTGTTTTAAGTAAAAGTTACATTCTTACGCTTTTTTCGCCAATGCAAAAATGTCTTCTTCATCACTCTCCTTCAGTCTACATTTGAAAAGTTGGTAATTATTTTAGAATTCCAGTGACAGAAATACTGCTTCGCACTGACAAAATTGTAACTGCAGTAGGTAAGGGTGTTAGCTTCGAGACACACATCACTGAGTAAATTTTATATAAAGCTCCTCACAATTAACTCCTTTCTGGAAGGAAGGACGACAATTTGATGCACTGTCGTATGTAATTATACCTAATTCTTCTAAGGATTCCCCCCAGAGTTTATCCGAAGTTCGCCTTTATTTTTCCTTACGTTTCTGCTTGAGATAAATCAAAAGTTGAAACTATGAGCATTGAAAATAAGAAACTTGAACGTAGCACACAACCTCCTATATGTTCAAGTTTAGCCTGAAAGTACTTTTTATTTCAGGGAATGTAAAAAGCAGAGTATGGGATATATTCTCAAGGAAAAGAAAACAAGAAAAACAAGTCGGCGACCCAGTAATCAGACAGAGGAAACTCACATATAACAATGGAATTGATAGACAGCAATTAGTAGTTACACATTAGAAATATAAAGATAACGCGACAATTAATAATAGAAGTTGTTCAAATAAAATAGTAAATGCGTTATATCTGTGTAGTGTCCAGTCTTCAGTAGGTTTGAAACCAGTATAGTGTTACCCTGTGTGCTCGATAAGTTTAGGTGGCAACAAGTGAAATTTTCTGAAAGAGAATAACCAAACGTTTTCCTCTTATAAAAGAAAACATGAATCATTGACTCAGTAAGCAGACGGAATGCACATACATCTGCTCAAGAAAGCAGTTGATGGTAATCGGAAATGACAGGAACTAGAGACTAAGACGATATGATAATCGAGACAAAAAGTGGATAGTGTTGTGTTTCGAAAGTGTTACATAATTTGCACAACCCGGTCCAGCCGTTGTCATGATGAATGTAATCCAATATCCAATATCCTTGTGACTTGTTCGAATAAAGCGTTTATTTTCTTTTCACTCACTTTTGCTTTTTTCACATCGTTCGAGTTCTTTAAAAATGATCAAATGGTTGTTGTCCGGTGGGTTTTGTATATCTTGTAGTCTGAGTAGGTGAGTTTATGTTCAATTTATATCCAGTAACCAAAATCCCAAAGCAGTAAGATTTGCAAAACCAGAATATATGTAATAATGATAGCAGTCCGTAAATTACGGCGTGTGAGGGTAGTCTAAGCCGATGGATATCCATTAGTAAGTACATGATAATCAAGTCTCCTCTTCAAGCTACACACATAAAGCTTTGGTTGCTTCGACTAGGAGAACATTCTAAGCAGAAGGAACTGAGGTTAAGTAAAATTATCAGAAACTGAGTTCTCACCCCTTGATGTGCACTTTTTCGAGGATTACCTCGAAGAACATAGTAGCAATATTCTGGTAATATGTTTGTGTTGGGATGACTTAGAGTGCTTGTAATGTTGTGCGCCATTATCAAGTCACTTTCTATCCCTATGTGCTTCATCTCAGATAATTTAAATTATCAGAGTCTATATTCTTAAGATTTGTTCCTTAGCCTATTTACCCACTTAGTAACCTGTTTTTGTACTTCGTCTGAGATATACACATTTTTTCTGAAGGCAGGAGGCGCAAGAATGTTTTGAACTTCGAACGGAGACTTTTAAAACGTTTTAAAGTGTTAAAAACAATCCTAAGATCATTGTGCCAAGTTGTCATCTTAAAAACTGAAGGGTTGTATTTGTTTAACTGAATCATGACTACATATTGAGTGAGTGCATATGTCTTCCATAGTCACCAGTCTTATACTGCGCTCTGGAGAGATGATAAAGAGAGATTTTTAATAGAGGACCTAAGTCATATGAATATTTTAAGAGCATCATCTCGGGCTAGATCCTGAGCTTTGAGATTCCTGCTTTAATTGATCGGCAAACTTGGCATCAAGGAATTCTATCATCTCTAGCTTAGTTTGATCATTTCAGTTTGGCCTTTTAAGAGCATCCACTTCCGATTTGAAGTTTTTCATTTTGTTTTGAATATAAAAAGATATTTTTGTTAAGAATTAATACACTTCAATCAAAGGATGATGTCGAATATAGATAGTTACGGATGAATAACCTTCGTACTATTAACGGATAATGGAACCCACTGCACAGAAATATTGTTTAACAGCTAGCTTTCTGATGTTGGATGCCGTCACTTACTTACGGATCCGAAAATTTCTCAGTCTGATGGTTTGTCAGAGAACTCTATTCGAGTGCCATCACATCATTAAATCCAAGTAATCTAGAAAACCTAGAAAAATGAGACGATTATATCTTGCTTCAACATCCTAATGAAGAGCATTCAGAAAGTCATAACAGTCCAGCTAAGCTCTTTAAACTTCGCATACGTCTTGCATACTACTTGTACAAGTAGCATCATCAGAAATGTATTTTTATCGACGAAGTGACTGGCGATCATCTACGGGGATTGTAATTCATAGAATGAGTAGTCGGATTGTAAACATTGTTGATTTAAACAACCATTCAATTCACAGCAGACATAGAGACCAAGTGGAGATTGATGAATTAGATGTTCCTAATTTTACTTCTGACGATTCTCAAACTAATACTTATTCCGTAGACAATCCTGAACTTCAGATATATGGTTCCAATTTTCATTCTAATGATTTCCCTGTTACGAATAACTATTTGGTTAATTCAGAATTTAGGAACGACGAAGAGTGTAAAATATTGCTAAACAACGGAGATCCGACAGAATCGCAAATAAACCAAGACTACATCATAGACACATAGACTAACAATCAACGTGTAGAATGTGTGGCAAACAACGAACCCACTTAATGTTCAAATTTATCATAATAATTCACTACAATGTCACTCTGTGTACTCTGTATTTGAGTTCTTGATTGTGTCTTGTTGAAGTTCTGAATTTATTGGGATTAGATCTACTTAGTCATATGAATAAAAATTCTCAAGTATTTTCGATAATCTTTCAATGCAGCTGCTAGGTTCGAAAACGTCTCCCTTCACTTTAAACTTTGATGTTCCATTTACTTCTCAAAGCCATGTAAGGACTAGGGTCAGAATCCTCCAAAAAAACTTTCCATTTGTCCCAGAGTCTCCATGTCGCCTGTAGCGAATGTTCCGTGCCTCGTTTAGGCCGATGAGATCTCTTTCCAGGTGTGCATTGTGCTTAAGGTACGTTGTGTTTGACGACTACCTGAATAACAAATCTCACTATCAATCAGTGGTCATCCACTAGTCCCCACCTCACTTGTGACCAAGGAAATTGTTAAGGATTTCCATTATAGAAATGTTGTCTCCCCTACAGATGTGTCCTCCTAAAGTACCTCATTTGTTGCTACGTTTTATATCAATGTACCTTAGTCACTGCCCCAATAACTGCTTGCAAGTGGATGTACTTAATCACAAGATGGTAAATATTTAAAATTTGTGGGTTTTTTGTTCACACCCAACTCGAAGTGTCATCCACATGTACAGACAATCCCGAAATTCGAACTAAGGAGGTGTGTTTTATAGGAAACCACATTGTAGAGGATGTGTCCTGTTTGTTGACATAAGGAGACGGATTGTCAAAGCAAACAGTATCAAATCTTTCAGTGGAGACGTGTTTTCTTTCATTAATATACGATAAACCGAGTTTAAACAAATTGGAATATGTGTGAATCCGCATCAATATTCTTTGAAAAAGTGCTTGATTACCTAGAATAAATTATAAATCACGTCTATTATAATAGCGATTTATTTGTCATTAACTCCATTGCATTTGATATCTAGTATTTCACAGCCGAAGTTGAGTATAATTGGTTTGGAGGGGTCTGTTAAGATAGCAGAATTTTCATAATATCTAACATTACTTGATCTTAGCTAGACCACCTTCAAAAAGTGGAAAGTAATAGACATCTGTTTCGTCATGTTGTGAGACTTCTCATCAGTGCTCAACCACGACTCCGCCACGAAAGAATAAGTCCAGAAAATTCAATCTCGCAGGCAAACGCCCGACTTCTAGACTATTGACTTAGCATTCATCGCTGTAAATATCCACCTATAAATGTTCATACGTGAGACCGAAGGCACACTAAACATGAAACTTACCTACCAACTTTGGCGTCTGAATTAACTGATGGCCTCAAAGCTTTTTCAAGGTCCGCAAGTGAAGCGATAACTTTTGGCGGTTGGCAAGGGTTTTTTGATGTATAATTCTCTAATTAACTACCTTTCAAGAAACCCCAAAGGGCATATCAGAATGTGATCTGGCGCGGATGCTTGGCCGAACACTAGTTAGTGAGATACCAACAAAAACCAGATTATTCGGTATTAATTTAAAGTTATTACGTGCTATATATTTTGTAGAATTGTTCACTCTTGTGGTTTGTACTTTAAAAACAAACAAATCAGACACAAAATTAATGGGTTCGACCTTGAACGTTTTAAGAGAAAAGGTCAAATATTATCTGAGTTAGTAAGCATCGAGGAAATCATTTAAACTCAGACCTGGCAGTGACAACAAACACGCGATTACTCCAAGTACTTGGTCTATGCAGACTGAAAGAAAACAGGGTGCACATTTCAATATTCCCAAGATTATAAGCAGCTCTCAGGTGATGCGATGACATTTGATTTCGATCACTGAGTCAACCATGACTACTGCATGACAACAGCAGAAAAGCCCAACAAAATACACATAAGTGTCAGTTTTATCTCGATTATTCTGGCCCGTCAATCCGACAAGCTATACAGGCGAAAAACCTTCAGGGGGCAGCTTCCACAGAAATTGTCGATTTCTTTGAATAGAAATCAATTTATAACTTTATAATCAGACATTGCTTTAGAGGAGCAGCAGTTTTAATGAAACTGTACGCCATCAACGTTGATAATCTATGTCGAATGATTGGAGGCCTACTCGAGTTAGACGTGAACAGCGTAACGAACAAGCGAACTTCGAAGTCACACCTCGCGATCACCACCTTACGTGTCAAGGGACCATGGATGCTCTGAAGTCTGTACAACACAAAGGAAGTTATTACAGGAATGTATTAGTTAAATTAGGTACAAGCAAAAGTAAAACCCCTTCTGCATGGGCCAGTTCATGGAGTGTGATTAACCGATGAGCGCTGATTGTCCTTGAACTTGACGATGATCGATGATCTGTTCGATATTTAGTGACCTAACTGCCGGAAGATTTGGCTAGGGTTCAGTGACATTTCACTGGCCCCACAATACTTTCCATTTTCTAACTTTAATCAGTACATGACATTGTGTGATCATTTTCTATTGCTTTCAATGGATAACCGTCACACACTCGGTATGATTGAACTCCACTGGTCAAAAATATACAAATTTTAGGCCGGATTTAAATGGATGAATGAAGCAAAATATTTTAAAAGGTGGATTAAGTTTAACATTTCAAATGATCTGGGAATATTTTCATACCCCTGAATATATATATATATATATATATATATATATATATATATATATATATAATCGAAATTTTATTATAGATAAACGTTGCATACCTGATTAGAATTCTAATAGCTGTCGAATAGGAATATGACAGATATGAAAAAAAATTTGGAAATTGACTTGAATAGATTAACTTTAGGGGATTTTCTCACTAATTTATCATCCTACTTGTAGTCTACTTGTTATTCTGTCAATTCTCAGCATTTCGATAATTGATAACAATTTTGTTTCACAAAATACTGAAGTATAAAAGATTTGTATTTACGTAAATTATTATAAGCAATATTTCTCATAGTAAATAATTAAATTAATGGATTTTAGGTGTCAATGTAGTTCAAGAAGAACCGTTTTCCTTACTTCGTACTGATCAATTGTATTCATCTTGATCATTAATACCGTCAGTTTTGTCAACTATATATATTCTGATCATTTATCTTACGATTTTATTTCACTTATAAA